ATCAGCCTTATGCTACAGGTATGTTGAATCATAGATTATCATGGCTCTATACAGTAATAATAGAAGTAGTGTTACCAAATTAAACTAAATTTGAAACAATAATGTTTAAAAAAAAAAAACACAGTATATAGTAACTGCCTTACCGAGCTTAGCCAATATCATACAACTAATACTGTAAAATGCTAACCCTAACTCTAATTTTTTTGATATACTTTTCAAAATGATCTAATTCTAGTCAAATTTGCTGATCATTTGGCTTATTAGTTTTAAACTGATAAACCAAGACTGCAAATTTAACCAGAATTAGATCGTTTTGAAAAGTATACCAAAAAAAATCAATCTATAAGCTATATGATGTCGGCTAAGTGAACTTTAGTAAAATGTTTGTCAGTGAAATAAGATTACTTTAACTTAATCAAAGCTAACTTTTCCTCAGCTTCAGCATATGATAAATTCATCTTTTGTTTATATATATAAGTTAGCAATGCTATTTTGTAGCAGGGATCTAACATTGATGCGATGCAGTGTATATCTCTTGTATCCATCTAATATTTGTCAAATTTTGTTTGCATAGGCCCAGACATTTGATGAAGAAAAGAATCCAAGTTAGTAGAATTTTGTTGGAGATGTATCCTAATTTTTAACAATTGGGAAAGAAAAATATTTGTAGTGGAATAGGTGCTTCCCGAGATAAGATTAGTAACTGCATTGAAATATAATATTAATTATAGTTACATTCATATAAAATATATAATAATCAAAAGTAAATATTAATATTTATTCTTACTTTTATGAAATGGTTTTAGAAAGTTACATAGACTTTTCGCTTTTTCCCAATCTTCATCTAAAGGTATGATTAACTCAAAGCTAGTATCTCAGAACGATAAACGTTCAAATATATTCTTATAAGGGATAGTGAATGCCAGCATAATATAGGTCGAGTTCCAACGGGTAATTACATCGAGAGTTGGTCGCTGCCTTGAAATAAGTTCATCATATCCAACAATAAGATCCTCAAAATTTTGCTCCCGATATTCTGAGCTATATATCCATTTAACACAATCTCGAATCTATAATACCAATCTATAGTATAAATAAGTCAACTCTCTTTAAGTCACATCAATATAATTTTGTTACTATCTAATCAGGATACTAAAAATCTATCACCAATTTTTGAATATTGTCTAGTCTATTAAAAAGAACCTAGTTGATTATATTTTCTGTAACTATTTAATTACGTTTTAAATTCTATAACTATTCAATTACATTTTCTTATTCTGTAGTTTAAGCTAAAATTTTTTAATTAAAACGATCATCAACTTTCTTATTTCCACTTTTCTATCTTCGTGTTGTTTTCTTTTAAATATTATTACTGTAAAAGGAATCTATTCGATTATATTTTCATATTCTGTGCTATTTGATTATATTTTAGATTCTATAGCTATTTGATTACATTTTCTTATTCTATAGCTATTTGATTATATTTTCTTATTCTATGATTTTTAATATTGACTTTCTTATTTCTACTTTTCTATCTCCATATTGTTTTTTTTTGAAATTGTCTAATCTATTAAAAAGAACCTATTCGATTATATTTTCATATTCTGTAGCTATTTGATTATATTTCAGATTCTATGCCTATTTGATTATATTTTCTTATTCTATAGCTATTTTTAATTATATTTTCACATTCTGTGGCTTAAGTTGAAAATTTTTAATACGATCATTGACTTTCTTATTTCCACTTTTCCACCTCTGTGTTGTTTTCCGAAGATCACATGTTTAAAGAACAATCACAATACTATAAACCCATAAACCAAAATAATAGAACGATTAAAAATGGGTTATACATAGTCTATATTATTCATTAATTCATTAATTTAATATATTGAAAACTGATGCGATTTAAAAAGAGTTGACTTCATAATATTAACGATTTATTTAAAATTTTAAACAATTTGCTTACCTTATTAACAACATTCTTAACTACCTTAAGCCCATTAACAACTATCAGATTCAAAATGTAGGTGTAGCAACGTTGATGTAAAAAACTTCCGTCTGCAATAAGCACATCTTGTTTACTAAGTCTATGCCTTACATTAGTTAATGCAGTATTATTATTATCTGCATTGTCTAAAGTAATTGCCAACATCTACAAAAATAAATATGTCAATACAAATACAGTATATAAATAAAAACCTAATTGCTTACTACTTACTCTAGATGTAATACTCCAATCATCGAGGTATTCAAAAAGTATATTACAAATCTTAATTCCTGTATGTGGCGCGGAAACAGATCTAAATGCTATAATTAGTTTCTGGAGAATCCAATCGTTATCAATAAAGTAATCTAATAAAGATGTGTAGAAATATAAAAAATATAATAATTGAATATGCAACAAAAAAAAAAAAGAACCTATTAATGAATATATACATGTGATAACCATGTATCCAGTATTTTGAATCGACGTCTACATATCGGTATAAAACTTAAATTTTCGAGAGCCTTGTATATCATCTTATGAACTTTTGTCTCAAGGTTTGTAACAACTTTCTTGCAATCTTCATGTACTGTTTTTTTACCCATCACTCTAAACTGCGGCTGCAGGTTATTAATAAATTTTAAAAATCCTTGTTGTTCAACTATGCGAAATGGGTATCCATGCATAAGAACCATATCAGCCAAATCCTGCCGGCTTTTTTCCTGAGAAAATTTGTAAGAAAACAACAGTGTTTGTTGCTTTACTTTATTCGTAAGATACTGGCTACACTTGGTGTTTTTAAGATAGCAAATCAAAGAGCTTGTTTTACTATTGCTATCATATTTTAGAGTATTTTTGCAATATGTGTACTAAGTATGGTTATCTAACAAATAATATAAATATTCACAAAAAGTTTTTTAATATATAAAATATTAATTGTATTATATATTACTTGGAATTTTGGTAAAGTGTTCCTCCATAAAAACCCATGAAGGTACTCTGCCTTTATGCTTTTCAATAGTAGTAAGAGTTGTTTCAAAATTTTTATCCTCACTAATGGTTAGGTTGAAACTTTTATCAAAAGAGGTATCCTTGCTAATAGTTAAACTGACACTTTTGTCTAAAAACATTGTTTTAGAACTTTCACTTGAACTTTCACTTGAATTTTCGATAATAGTTAAATCCATATTTCTAACTTTTTTTTTTTTTATGTTGATTTAAATATTTCCACATGTTTTTATTCCCATTTGAGATGAGCAATTAAATAATGATCATTATCATCGGTGAAAAATTAAAGTCGCAAAGATAAAGAACAGATATTTTGAATTATCTTCGCAGATAAAAAAAGTACTTTTTTTTTAAATAGCTAAGTTCAATGATTTTCAGACAATTCTTTTAATTTTACTTACTGTAATTAGAAGATGTACTGAAACCTTGTGCATTTATAGTGGTTTACTTGATTTTATACCAGTTTAATAATCAAACTTATTATAGTATTATTACTGTTCTATATAAGATCTGATAAATAATTGGTATGTATAATTACATATATGATAATCAAATCTTGGTATTGAAAAGGATTCTTATTTTATTTTATATGATACGTAAAATTACTGTATATAATAATGATTATTAATTGTTATTAACTATGTAATAACGGCTTAATAATATGAGTACTGCACAGGGAAAACCTGTAAGTAAAATTTTATTCGTTAATCACTATGTCAATCCTAATGATTTGGCACTGGGATGTGACCAATTATAGGATATGACTAGGGATTGTGGTATGGCAAAAAAATTTGGCATGCCCTGTGGCATGCTATCACCTAATTTCATGCCAGAATACTACCCTGGCATGCTATAAATGTGCCACCAATTCAAAAATTAAAAATACTTAATTTTGATTGGCCAGTTATTATATACTAAATATATTTATAATTCAAAAAATAATTACATTGTAAACTATATATATTAATATAACTAAAAGATAGATTTATTAGATTTTTGAGTATTTTTTTTTTTTTAAATTAATATATATGAGTACTGTGGCTTCATTTTGGGATTTTGATACAACTATGGTTTTTATTTATTGGGAGTCTACCAACATCAAATTATTTTAAAATGCATAACCGTGTGTTCCCAATTATAGTAATTTTAACTTAAATTGTATAGCTTGGTTGAAAAGCTATATGAAAAATCATATGAACCATGGCAATATGAACCAAGATTATCCATGTTGAACAGAAAAGCCACCAAACCCGATTTTTGGGTATTTACTTAATAGATTAGCTATTCCTTGGCAACAGAAATGTTAAAATTAATTATCATATAAGCATGAAAAAGCCTATTCCATAGCAACAAGAATATTAGTTAATTAATCTGTGCTTTGGATATGCCCATAAGCGTTATTTTGAAATAGTGATTTTTTTTGAATCCAATTATTATTTGTCGCAGAATAAATATACTACATGGAATATGTATTAATTCAGGCGCTAATTTAAAACCATGTAAGTAATTTTGAAAGATTCTATTTCAAAATAACGTATATAGGCATTGCTTCGTGCCTATATGGTAGTTAAAATATATAAATACGAAATAACACAATATTAAACACAGAAAAGGAAAGATGATAGTATCTATACACGTAAATAAGCTATATCCTATCAAGAAAATATCCAAAAATAGTGAACTCTTCTAATACTAATTTGGTATTTGAATAAGGAAAATGAATCATTTCCTGTCATGATATCAGAGCTCTAAAGATAGATCAGAAAAAAAGATTGATTAAAAAATCATTATAATCACTTGGTTTGATTAGATAAATAGTGATAAGTCTCTTTCGGAAGTAATATCAAAAGGTATAAAAAGCTATTTTGAAAGTTCAGGTTAATAATTTCTAAGAACATATAAACACAAAGTAAAATTTTACTTAACGATTGTTCTGCATATTAATCATATAAAAAAAATCGTATATAAAATAAACTTATTATAAATCAAAGATTCTCAAACCAGCATTATGCAATCACATATTAGTCTAGAAACTGGTGAAATCACAATTAATAATGAAACAGAATCTACTCAGTCTCTTCCTGGTTTTACTCGTTCTGATATGAAGATTCACGATTACTGGTGGACTGGATTTTGGCGTTTTCTAAATAAAGGAGTTGGCAATAGATACACTGCCAAGTGTTTTCATTGCAATCTTGAACTATCTGGCAAACCTGATAGACTTCATGCCCATGTTAATATGTGCGGTAGTTGGCCTGTTACTGATAAAAGTAGCTATATTAAAAAGGCTGCTATTTTTGCTTCTAATTCTCACAAAAAATCTAGGAGTCTAACTCCTGATAGGAAACAAGTTATGTAGATAATTTACATAATATTATAGTATATTTGTACCAAGGAAAAATAGAACTTTAATTATATAAAGTTTATATAATTGAAGTTTTATTTTTCCTTGGCATCATGCATTTAATAAATAGTTGACTTAATTGATGATTCTCCAGTCAACTGAAGAATGATTATAGTAAAATGTGACTCAGATTACTATATAAATTTACTATAGTGCGAATATGGCGATCGCCCAAGGTAAACTTTTTTTATACTAAGTTAATCACCTTTCTTGCTTAAGAGACTTTTGTAAAGCTTGTCAAAACGCATCTAATGGTAGTTAGAACGTCAAAATCGGTCTATCAATTCTTCTATTATTGCATGTGTAACTGATAATCCCGTGGTCATGGTTCAGATGAGAAATGATCTTAAAGATAAATATTCAAATATTGTTCCTATCCGCTATTGCCTTCACGCTTTCAATTTACTTGCAAAAGATATTTCTGCCTTTCCACCTTTACGCCCAGTTATTAAAGATAACCAAAAGCTCGTTAATTTTTTCACGTCTTCTTATATTTGGCATCGAATGCTACAAGACTGGCAAAAAAAAGAAGGAATAAGCCATTCACTCACAACATTTTGTGAGACTAGATGGTACTCTTTCGCGAAAGTTTGCTTGAGGATAAAATCCTTTGAAAAAGAATTTTATCATTGTATTATGCTTAGTAAAACTGGCAACTATCCGTCAATTAAAACAGAAATTCAAGACATAGTTACCAACTGCCACCATTTTGCAAACAATGATATGTTGATAAAAATGCTTGTTCCTATCGTAGATGCTATTGGCCGTCTAAAATCAAGAGATGCCACATTTAGCTGATGTTTTTAAAGAACTACTAAATATCCATTATGCTGTTTCTATGACTACTATTCAAATTGACGAATTTAAAAACTATGCCTTAGCTGCTATTGACAGACAAACGTGTGAATTCTCTGATAGTATTTTTTTTGTTGCATTTTTTTTATTACCACATTATAAACGAGTTGCAGTTTCAAGACAAATGTTAGAAGATTCAATTATTAGAACATCTCTGAAGCTCGCAAAGGTTTGGGGTTTCGACAAAAGAGAAACGACACTCCTGTTTAAAGAACTTGTTAGCTATAAGAACAGTGATGCCCCTTTTGATAATATAAAATCTACTAAAAATACTAATCCTAGAACTTTTTGGTCCAAGTTTACTGGTAGTTCCCCTCTTCTCCGACATTTTGCTATAAAAATATTTGTGATTGTTCTACATGCTGCAGCTGTCGAATGTTTATTTTCTAGCTTGGGGTTGGTAAAAACTAAACTATGCAATAGATTATCTCCTGTCATGACAGAAATGCTTGGGATGCTTCGTCATGACCTTCAACAAGGTCAACTAAAAATGGTAAAAAAAAAAAAGTCAAGATTTAGTTGATGATTCTTTAATAATTGATATTGAAGACACCAATATTGACTTTTACCTTGAGGAAGAATTTGATAAAGAGCCTTTGCAGTTTGGTGTGGAATTAGAGGATATAGATATAGAGGATGGACTAACAATAGAAAATTTTTTTAATATTCAAATGTATGAACAAAATCAAAAAGAAACAATTGAAAGAAGTTCGATTGATTATTCTCAACCACCTACTAGTACTACCGAAGATTGGTCAATATATTACTAAAGCTTTTTTCATTTTATATTACCCCAACAAAATTAGTATTAAATAAAAAATAAAAAATAAAAAAAAAAGGATACTTGCTGCTAAAATAAAAAACATATTGCCATATTAAAGTTTTTACTTCTACAAAAAGAATACATCATATGAACGCTCAAATCCTTCTTGAAAAAAATAAACGGTTGAATTCAGTAATAGTTCACTTGCTATAGTTAACAGCATGATAAAAAGTATGTAAAAAGGGCTAAACCCTAAACATGAAGTTTGTAAACATTACAATAATTATAAGTTTGTAAAACTACCAATTTCACCTCAGAAAGCAAGATCTAGATTAAGAGTATAAGATAATCTGAAAGATTGTAAGATCTGTTATTTTAGAATATATAAGAATATAAAAAAAAAGATAAATTTAGCTTACTTTAGTCAGTTCTAGTATAAATTATTTAAAGTACAGAAGTGAAAGAGTATGTATATATGATACTTAATACATACATACAGAGAGACCTCTCTAAATGCACCCTCTCAGGACCATAGTAAAAAATTTCAAAAATGTGCACTTAGAGAGGGAGTGTATTTATAGAGATTAAAATATATAGTGATATTATAAGTCGGGACTAGATTATATTATACATTTAAAGAGATTTTACATAGAGGGTGAATTTATAGAGAGTACATTTAGAGAGGTCTCTCTGTACATACGTACATATACTATAAGTGGCATGCCTTATAACTATTTTGGATTTGGCATGCTTCATGGCATGCCACCATTGGCATGCCATAATGGCATGCCCGTAATTGCTGTGCTACAATCCCTAGATATGACAAATAATCATTTATCATATAGCTTATATAGTAAATGTTTATTTGTAATATTCAATGATTGGTTGCGCTCTAGTGTGCCAAATCTTTAAGATTGGCATAATGATTAACAAATAAAATTTTACTTACAGGTTTTCTCTGTGCATCCCTCATATATGGCGTAAAAAACAAAAAGTTGCATCAATATTTTCTCAAAAATTGACAGACTAAACTTACTTATTTTATATAAAATTGTTACGGGCTTTTTGGGGTTTGTAGGCTTTTTTATAAAGCCTGGCCCAGCCTGGTATTTTAGCAGGCTTAGCTTGGGCCCGGGCTATTATAATTACGGGTCTAAAAATGCTAACCCGACCTGGAACTTTTGCAGATCAGGTCAGGTTCAGGCCTAGGTAGCCCGGCCTGGTTACATACCCTACTAACAAACACACTACTACTCTAAAAATTATACAACTTCTTAATTACCTACACATCTCTATACATGCACACTCAGACTTTTCTTGGCCCAAAACTGTAAAAGACTGCAATACTCCACTTGAAAATACTCCTTATAACCATCCCAAATACAACACTTTTAAACAACAACTTAGGCACAAAAACATTATATATTTAGAACAACTCTGCTCAGCAGATAATAAAACTCTGTTAGACTAGTTACACTTATCACCTAGAATTTTACATATTCCTAAAGCAAAAAACCAACCTGGTTTAAACATTTAGAAGATACTATTCTTAAAAATAACTTATCTGATACTCCATTTTTAGCCCAAAGGTTCTAATCCTTTTGCATATCAAACCAATCTTATTCCCAAAACTCACAAACCCTGGGTCCTAACTTATCACAATGAGCATATTGTAATTGGTCAAGTTCGCAGAAC